CCATGTTCTCATCTTCCGCTTCAGAATCTGAACACCAGCCATGGAACTCTGAGACAACACCTTCATCAACCCCATCCACCTTGGATTCATCCCCAACCACCTTGACATCACCCCCAGCCTCTGCAAACAGTGGATCAATCGAAATCTTTTGAACCACACGGTCCAGGTCATCTTCACCTGAAACTGTATCAGCATGCCTAATTTCTTCCCCACCAAGTCCTTTCCCACCTTCTTTTAGTTGTTCCTTCTCCAACAAACAACTGCCCAAAGCCTGATCTTCATGCACAACAACTTCCCTCTCCATTGGCTTCCCCCTAATCACTCTCTGGGCATTAGCTACGTCAACACACTGTGACATCAACTGATGCATTGATTTCATAACGTCACCTAATTTCAAGTCATTCACAGACATCAACTTTGGAGTAATTCTATCCAACACCTTCAGGAAAACATAAATACAAACTATTAACAACTGGCATAGGACATATAACTTATTTTATAAAATACAAAGCTACATCTAAAACTATCATTAACTTGCAATATACCTGCCGCGTAATATTTTCCACGTCTACCTCCTGCATAGTCTGTTGCATGTCAACTCTTTCCACCCTTTTCTTTGGAACCTCTTGAGGAGTCAACAGATGCTCCTCCCCATATGCTATATCAAGAGACTGCAAAAGAATCAAACACAACAGCTTTAACAGTATTCACATCAAATGAAAGTCAAACTAATACTAACCGGCAATTTTCAGAAATCCTCATATTCATTTTTATCATCGCCAACCACCTCATTGATCATTTCTTCGGACCATGCCTCAAGTCTCGGTCTCACACCCCACCTCATTGGGACGCGACTTAGGTGATCTAGATAAAAAAATCTACAATAAAAGGACAGGATGGATGATTTAGTTCAACTAACCATTACAAACGACAACACTACACAATTTAATAAAATTACTCAAAAAGCTTTTGGTGTACGGTGGCAAATACCCAATTTTACTCACCAACAAAAAAAGGATACAACCCCCCGAACCTGCAACATATCCATCACGAGCAAATTTCTTTTGGAAACTCCTGGCTGCTACAATCATGCTATTAAAATACATAAGTGCACCAGTCATACTCATCAGCTTCATCGTAAACCAATAACGACGGAACAAGCTTCACCCCAAGACAACTTGTATTTGCCATATCACACAATAAATAGCCCAGAGCTGCTATGAGAAAGGCTATCTTGAAATCAGCCTTCACGTCATCCGACATCGGCAACACATTACCTTCCTCATCCTTTCGAATATGTGCCCCCAAAGCAGCTACTAATGAAATGCTATCATTTTTCCCAAACTTTTCCAAAATTCTACTATGCTCTTCCTGCTTATCCTCAGGAATCGTACACGGCAATGCCTTCGACCCCATGGGAATCCCAAGTACGTACTCGACCTGAACAGGACTCAAAGGAAGCACACACTCATCTCCAAAAGTTATCGAACCATCACCCATCACCCTTGTCAACAACCAGTACACAAACTTCCAGGGTACAAAAGTTAGGGGTATACTTAACAACCCTCCAAAACCCATTTCTGTGACCAGCTTCTTCCTAAAGTCATCAAACTTCTTCACTGCGATTGCAAAAGCCTTCACAACATGCAAATTTGGTGCCTACAACATTACATTCAAACAAGACAAACTTTAATCAAATGACACCGGCCCAAGCCTCACAAAATAAAACCACTAACCGATTAAATTCCTTCTAGGTTACTCAAATTCTTCAATTCTAACTAATTCCTTTCTAGCTTACCTCAATTTTTTACAATTCCAACTAAATTACAACAAATTACAGCAACTGTCCTTCCATATAAACCAGCTAAAGAGACAATAATTATACAATCCCATTAAAATTACTTGTGAATATTCTATAAGGGATTTTAATCTTGCACATCCACTTAAGGACTCACAATATTCATACTTAACTTAATTTACCATTAATCTTAAGTAATTCAATTCATTTTCCCAACTACGTATACCTAAACAAAGGCCCAACCACATAAATCCCAAAAAACATTTCCATGTCATGGATATCAAATAATGTTCAGAGAGTACCTTCTGCGTACTTCTTGATTGGGTTTTAACGTCAACCCCTTTCTCCTTCACCACCTCTCCCTTTGTCTTCTCGACTTACACATGACATTACGCATTTCATTTCTCCATCCAAGTATTACACAACAAATTAGCTTTTATCATTTCCATCTAACATGACATACCTTTAGCTTGCCCCTTTTTCCTGTCCTTTTCTCAATATGACCTCGCTTGCGCTTCCCTTTCTCAACCTTTTCCTGCAATAACTTGATCAGGAGATCCTAGTAGCTCACTTTGTCCTGTTCTGGTTCTTCCTCACTACCTATAATGTGGTCCTCCGCATCATCATCTACCTCATAATCACCAGCTGTGGAATCAACATCATCAGAACCAGATTCATCACCACTAGATTCATCATAATCACCATCATCAGAACCAGCTTCATCAGAGTCCTTTAAATACTCTACCTCAAAAACTAGATCAGATTTCAGTTTCTTCTTCCCTTTACTAGCTACTTTCTTTTTAGGCGCCTCCTCATTCACGGCTTTCACCCACGCCTACACAAACACAAATATTTGCCACCAAAAATCAACTACAACACACAACCATCACTAAGAAAACACACAATCTTTTAATTTCAACAAACAATAACTCACCAATCTTGATCCCTTGCTCTTCCTCGGCATTATTTTCTCCTGCCAAGTTCAAATGAACGCTCGATAAATGGGATTTCCCAACTACATAAAACTATTTCAACAAACCCTTAACTCTTCACATATAATTTCTCCACTATATTCACGTATACATACCACAACAGTCATAATTTCTTAATGTAACAATATCACTTATTCATAATTCAATACGTTTTCCACCACTAAAAACTCACAATTAATCAATCATTTAAATGGATTCAAATTAAATTAAACAACAAAGGGTCGCAAATTTCAGTGGTTAACAAAGCATTACATAATCTAAATCATCATATCAACAAATTCATTCCAATTACAGGTTTCACATCCTCAAATTAATCCCAATTATAACAATAAACAATAAAGGAAACCCTACTTCGCTATTTTCCCTGGATAACTGTAAATCACATAAACTACATCATAACAACAAATTCATTCCAGTTAAGGGTTTCAGAACCACACCCACTAACATTTTTCCCAATTAAACAAATGAACAACACAGGTAACCCTAAATCGCTAAATTCAACGGAAAACCCTAAATTCCAAAAACTAAAACTTCATAACAACAAACAATTTACAACTGCTTTTTAAATTTCTTAACAACCAACAAATGCGTCCATAACACAGTTGTTACACTCGGTTTCAAGACCATACCTTCAATCAAAGGAACCAACGACTGCCGGTACACAGTTCACGCAACTGCTCACGATTACCACGCACCAAAATTCTTTTCTAGCTCCGGCAACAACCACCATTGTAGTCTCTTCTTTGGAACAGAGTACAGTCACTACAGGGAGGAACTGGAGGAGCGAACAAGAGAAAATGAGGAGAGAGAATGCTTTGTTGTTACTTTATGAAAAATATCCTTTTTCATATTAAAAAAAAACCAAGCCCGTTACATTTTAAATTATAACGGGTATTTGATGAGTCAGCCTCCACTTTTGCATTTCTTAAGCTTGGTAAATGACGCTGCTACCCTCCTATTTGCTTCCTTCGTCCATAGCACCTATGCACTGATATGTACTCCATATTGGGGCCTGGCCCCGGGTACTTTTGAGGAAAAAATTATAGTACGTAGTTACATACATAGTAGTAAAAGACTGAAGTGAGCATAATAAGTATAAAAAAAAATGTAAAAGCCCAATAAATTACAAATATCTGAATTCTTTTTTATTTACCTACTAGGAAAGTCAATTTCAATTCCCAGATAAAGCCTGACACTCTTCCCTCTTTACTTCTTATTACTAAAAGCTCACAAGTCACAGAATATTTTTGTCCACTTATCCCAAATTTCCATTCAAGTGATTTAATTATCAATTATCAGCAAATCAATTATGTGTAGTTTAATCAATTCAGTTTAAATTTTTGGGTTTTTTTAAGTTATGCCCCCGTGGTTATTGAGTTTCTAAGGTGTGTACATACTTTTTCAAAATTACAAGATGTACCCTCCAATTTAAGGTGTTTATTCAACTGTACCCTATAACATTAATCCAACGTTAGTAGTTGTATTAACGTTTTATTACCACACTTTGGAGAGAAATTTCACGCCCAAATTGGGTTAGAGTTATATAAGTAGGTTAACATTTAGCATTTTTTCCAAATTTTCTCATCTATTTTTTCTTCTTTCTTCTAAAAGCAACCATTGATATGTCAACTTCTCGGTGTATTTATTATTCTTTTTTCTCATCCACTTCTTATTACTTCCTATTTATTTACAATTGTTAACGTCGAGTTTACGTCAGATAATTACTTATGAATCGTGACATGTTGATGGTAAATAAATTAAGTCACGATTAATGAATGTATAACCTATGACAAATTCATTGGATTGTTATTTTTTATGTTATTATGTTAAAAATTACTGGCTTTTGAAAGAAAAACTTTCAAGATCTGCCACTGCTGGCAAGCCTCCGAGACTTACACTGCCAAAGTGCCAACAATGGAAAATAAACAAATCCCCCGGAATTATTTGCCATGAAATTTGAATCATTTTTGTTGAACAAAGGAAAAAAGTTCTACTTCACCAATGAAAAGATCAATGGAGACTGAAAGCATCAATTTGATGAGGTTTGTGTACGTAATTTTCATTTGACAATTACTTTGCTTTTACTCGTTCATTTTAATTAGATTTATATTTTATATCCACTTTCATTATGAAACTATTGATTGCCTAGTATTCATAATTCATGCTTAAAAGTCTATTATTGATTATTTAATCTGTCATGCACGTCTTCAATCTCCTCATTGTTTGATTTGTTCTTGTCAAATTGTTCAGTTTTATATTAGTCCCTTGAATTTTTAAATTTTTTTTTTCATTATTTTTGGTATTGTTGTTGTTGGTTATTATTGTTATTCTGAGTTCATTTGCCAAATTGTGGATTTTCCTTTTTCTTGTTTATTTATTTTATAATGGCAATTTGATTGATCATTGACAATAATAGTAAATTATCATAATTAAATGCTTACTATTAGTGGGTTTTGCTGCTCAATATCTTGTTTAGTGATTGACATCATTTGACTGAGTATATAGTTGAAAATTTGATGTTTCTTAACTAAATGCATTACTATGAACACTGCAATTTAGTCGAATAAACTAACACGGGTTGACCGATTTCATTGGGCGAGCTTGTATAAGTCATTGAGTTTTTGGAAATTCCTCAACTTTTCTGTAAAATTCAGTTTGCTGCCACAGTTATGGTGTGAGGCTTTCGAGTGTTTATGTCATATAGTTTCGTTTTGTTGCCTGTAATGAGTCGTAAGGTAGCAATTTGCCTACTTCTGATATGCGTACAAACTTCTATTACAACCTCGGAAACAGACCCTGATGATGGTTAGTTTAATCCTTTCTTTGTCTTCTGTGGTTACTCTTAGATCAACATCTCATTTTCAGATTTTCTTACTTTCATGGATACTTATCTGCACTTGTGCTTACTCATTCAATCGACCTTGTTTTTTTTTTTTTTTTTTTTTTCTTGTTTTGTTTGTAGAAGGAAGATATGTATCCTAATACCATGATGATTGAACATTTGAACCATTTTGTAGCACTTCTTAAACCATTGAAGAATGCAACATTTAGGAAATTTTGTTAAAAACCCACCTTTTAAAAAATAAGTATATGTTAAAAATCCATCAATTTAAAAAAAAAATTTGTTGTAAGATACCACCTGTCGCCGGAAAAGAGAGTTTGACCGAATTTCTCGGCATTGACTCTGGCGCGTGACCTTAAATGACCACCGTGACTTCCCCTTTTCTCTTTTCCCTTTCTTCCTCTTCTCTCTCCATCCTCTGTTTTCCTCCATCTCAATTAGCAAGAAAGGTGGAGATGTCCATGGAGGAGGTGGTGGATTGGTGGGGGCCACTTTGTTGATGTTCGCTGCTCCGGTACGGCGGTACCAACGTCCATTAACACGGCCGACCTTGATTGTCGTGGAGAGAGAGAGCGAACATGGAAGAAGAGAGGAAGGTTTCAATTACATGTAGTATGATTTCCCATTAACAATCAAAAATCATGTAGAAATCAAAAATCATGTAGAAATTTCATAACATTTATAACGTACAATTCTTTCTGCATTTAATTTTTGTTATTGATGTGATGTGTGTTATCATGGATTGTTTGGTACAATTAGGTTATATTTTGACATGTCTCTTGCTCTTCGTATTACATTTATGGTCCATCTAAGATGCTACTTGCTCATATGAGGAAACTAGCATGGTCCATTTAAGATCATCTTTAGCATGATAGATTCTTGAATATTAGTGTGTACCTTTTCTTTTGTGGTCATGTGGGTTGGAAGATGTTCAATGTTAATTGAGGGATTTGTCTCTGTTCTTAATACCTTTGACAAGTAATCCTCCTTTAGGAAAGTAGAATGTACATATAGGTCTAAAACTAGTGCTATTCTAATTGTATGAACTTCAATTTGTTATTGGTTTGTTATCCATGGATTTTACATGTATTCAACAATATCTTTATCTTATTTATGGAGAAATTGGACCAGTAAATGCAACAATCACAACAATAATAACAACAAAGTCTTGGTCCCAAATTGGATCGGTAAATAACCTAGGAAAACTTATTTTACTTGACTTTTATGTATCTTATGTGGTTGGTTATTCATGTTAGTCTATTTTGTTTTGGATTTTTTGGAGCATGAAGGATGGTACAACTGAAGCTAATAGATGTGAATCTCTCAAGACTCTCAAAAGGCTCACAAGCTATAATAATATTGGATTTTCGAATTTTAGCAAGAACTAAAGAATTACACGAAAATTAATAGGATAGTTCTCTAATTCTCGCAAGAATAGAGGGTTTCTTCCTAGTCGCAACTAGAAGATGATCACGAGTCGCAACAAGTGATTTTTTTATTAACAATCAAACGAGCAACGCTCAAAGGGTTAATTTCCAAAACAAATCTCTCATCATTCATTAAAAATCACTATTGGTATGCACCCATATTTATAGGATGAAAAATCGTACAAAGATAAAGTAGGATACTAATAATCATATCCTAAAATAAGATATAATATTAAAAATCCTAATCCTATAAATCTCCTAATCATATTTGTAATAAATCTATTCTAACCTAAATAAATTAAACAAATAAATATCCTAATAACTAAAACTCTTAAAGCCTAAAAATAAGAAAAATCCTTTCAAGTGAAAGGTAAAACCCCATCGACAAAATTCTAATAATTAATAATAACTAAAAGATAGTGTAAACTTTCTAAAAACTCCATGAATTTAAAAAAAAAACCCATATTAGACTATTGCTCCCGCATCATACTCCCCTTCTTCGAAAAAATTCACCTCGAATTTTGTCAAATCTTGAAACATGATAAAGAAACCAACAAGCCAAAATCGTGTAAGTGCGAAAAGGACTCACCTGAAAATCTGATACCATTATGATGTGTATTTTTGACGATTTATATTTAATGGAAGGATTTGAGTGATTTTAATGGTGGAAATTTGAAAGATAATCTTAGAAGACAACGATTTCTAAGTTTAATCTTAACAGCAATGATTTCAAAACCCAACATCCTATTAAAATAATTGAAATACAACTAGTATATATAGGAAAAATAAATCTATCCTACTTGCTTTGCAAGCAAACTAGATAAAAGTCTTAATAATTAATTAATGAACTAAGATAGTCCACTAACTAATAATATAACTTTGGAAGCCCAAGGCCCCATAACTACTATTAAGAAAATAATAAAATATTATTAAAACTCACTTGTAAAACCCTTACTTTGAATAAGGTAAAATCAAAAGAGTACCTAAATAAAGTAATAAAGATAGTTATAAGAAAAGGGACTCGATTCACATCACTAATGCTACAATTTTGCTAAGAAGTCGATTGGTTTTGTGATTTCTTCCATTTTCGTCCCTAGGCTTCTTGAACAAAAATGGGTCTTAATTTGTTGAACAATGTTTTCCTGTCAGAGATTATGGAGTGGGCAAATAGTGTTGGACAAAGGGAGGGTCAGTGTAGCACAATCAAGAAAAGTGAATGAAGCCTTCTAGATATAGACTGGACCTATTGACGAGCCTTGTAAAAAGCTTGCATTTTTATTGCATGTTATTTAATCCTTTCCCTCACTTTATCTGTTGTGTGCATGCCATCTCCTATGTCGTAACATATTGGACCACCTTCTTTCCCTTGTAGTTCAGCAATGATGAAATTAAATCCATCCATTTAAAGATTTGTAGCCCTAAATTGAATTTGGTTGCTCATTATGCACTCATGCAGTTACTGGATTATTATCCCTCAAAGCAATTTGGGAGAATGTGCCACCATCTTGGAATGGTTTTCGTGATCCTTGTGGTGATCGCTGGGAAGGAATTGCCTGCAATAATACCCGAGTGATTTCGATGTAAGTCAGATCTGCATCACATTTAGAAACAGCCACAACCATCCTTAATACATTTCTTGATTTTATTTTGAAAGTTGTTTCTCAGAACTTTATCAAGCATTGGGCTGAAGGGCGTACTGTCAGGTGATATCCGGCAACTATCTGAGCTACAAACTCTGTATGTTTTCTGATGTACTCTCTTATTTTCAGACTTATCTGTCTTTTCTGATATGCTAGATACAGAAGTATATACCAAAAACTTCCGTCATCTTTCCTATATTGACTAATACCAAGTATATTTTGGTCTTTTTTATTTTTCATATTTATTTTACTTTTCATGTATAATTTCTTTATAAATCTAAGAAAAAGAGAACTTTAGGGAGCTCCCCTTAGTATTCTATTAAATTGTGTACATGGATGTTCCATCATTTCGAAATTCAACAAGTCTTCTCTTTTTCTTTCATGTTGTTTATGGCCTACTTTTTACATCCTCATCCAAAACACTTCAATTGTTTTTTTTTTTTTTTTTAAAAAAAAAAAAAAAAAAAATCTTATTTATAATTTTTGTGCAGGGATCTGTCTTCTAATAAGGGACTGACTGGTTCTCTTCCTGAAGCAATTGGGAATTTAGCAAAACTTACAAATCTGTAAGAAGTGTGATTTTACAAAATGCACTGTATATGATTACTTAAAACTTATAATCTCTTGCAACAATAATTCTTTCCTGCTGCACTATAGAATCCTGGTTGGCTGCAACTTCATTGGCAAAATTCCTGACAGCATAGGATCTCTCTCAAATTTGATATTCTTGTAAGAAATTTTAGTTCACTTTTCTTTCTTACATATTTTCTTATAACTTATATTGTGTGTTGTGTAAATGTTTGTTAGTTGGTAGACTATTGCGCTTTAATTTTGAGTTCTCCTGAGTGAATTTTTTATGTTAAATTTTCATCTATTCTGTTCAGTTGTCCTTGTAACAAAAAGGGGGTTATATTGGCCCCCCTCCCCTTTATACCTTTCATACTAAGTAATATCTGAATTCTGCATTTCGGTGTTCTGCAGATCGTTGAATTCTAATAGTTTAAGCGGGTCAATACCAAGTTCAATTGGTAATCTTTCTAAGCTCTATTGGCTGGATCTAGCTGAAAACAAGCTTACTGGAACATTACCTGTCTCAAATGGGACTAAACCAGGTCTTGATATGCTGCATAGTTGCAAGCACTTGTATGTCTGACGCATTTATTTTTTGATTTGAAAATTTCTGGAATCCTTTATCGAATTTCACCATTATTGTATTGCCCTCTTTCAATCTTTTAATTTTCTATTTCTTGTTGTTTGTCTATTGATTGCCACTTTGCCAGTCACTTTGGAAGAAATCAACTCTCTGGCTCAATTCCACCTCAGCTACTCCATGAAAATATGACACTTATTCATTTGTAAGTACCCTGAAAGAAATTTAATAAGATATAGATGCAGTCATTGACATATATTCACTGGTAACGCAAAAACATATTTTTGGCTGCACCAGGCTTCTGGATAACAATAAATTTGAAGGAAGCATCCCGTCAACAATAGGTCTAGTGAATGAAATGGAGGTGCTGTAAGTATCCTATTTCATGTTTCCAGAAGATTACATTAACAAACAAAGACTATTGAGATTTGAGAAGTAGCAATGTTTACCATTGACTTTTTTGCTCTTTAACTTTGATGTTTATCAGAAGATTGGATTGGAATTCGTTCAGTGGGTCTGTCCCTTCAAACATTTCCAATCTTACTGAAGTTACCGAGATGTAAGTAATAAAGTCTCTTTACTTGTGGACTTTGTTCTACCTGAATTTTCAGCATAATTCATACATGAATCTGTTTTTCTTTTTCAGGCTTTTATCTAACAACCAATTCACGGGCTCTATGCCTGACCTTACTGGCATGAACCAACTCAGTTACTTGTAAGTTAATGATCATGTTGTACTTGAGATCTATAACTCGATGTTTAACCATGACAAATTTTATTAATTTGTGTGCAGGGACATGAGCAACAATAGTTTTGATACCTCAGATGTTCCATCATGGTTCACAGCCTTGCCGTCGTTGACTACTTTGTAAATTTCTTGACTTCCCTTTTACACAAAAGGATTAACTTAATAATTTTGTATTGAATGAAATCAGATAGAATATTCCTTTTTAAATATGTGAAATTTTGTCATCATTGATTTTGTACATGTAACTAATTTATGATGTCCTTGCCAATTAATGTATTTAGCTTATGCTCACCTACAACTATAATTTCTTTTTTTCTTAAATCTAATGACATTTCTCTTTTTTCTGTAGAATTTTGCAAATAAATCAAGACTACACCTTGCATAAATCTCTCCTGTTTTATTGCCCAAGTACCTAATTGATTATATAGTGTTGATATCTGTATAATTCCTTTGTACAGAATAATGGAAAAGACTCAACTACAAGGTGAAGTTCCAGAATCATTATTTAGCCTCCCTCAGTTACAGAAAGTGTGAGTATCAGTTAAGTTCAAAGTCAGTATTTCAAAAGTAGTACATAAGGGCCAAGTTAGATAAGCTCAAATAAGGACTATCTAACTCAGTTTCTAACATTAATAGTCTAAAGTAGTTTTCGGGTGAAAAGAAAAAAGCCAAAATAATTTACTTATGGCGATTCCTCGAAGAACCAAACTATCTGAGTGAGGGAAGTGTTCTTTCATATTAACACTATTTTCTTATAATGTTAATCTAGGGTATTGAAGAGGAACAAGCTCAGTGGTACATTGAATATTGGTTCTGCTGTCAGCTCACAACTTCGATCAGTTGACATGCAGAACAACAATATTAGTGCTTACACTAAAAGACCTGAGGATTCTAATGTCAAAGTAATGTAAGCCTTGAAATTCTCGATTCAACTGTGCTATTAAATATCTTCTTTTTTGTTTGTAAATTAAATTCTGTAAAGGGGAAGGCTCCTCTTGAGTGCTGAAAATTGTTTTCTTAACTTTTGTTCTTTGTGGTACAAAATAAGAAAATTTGAAGAAAACATTTTCCCAATCTTTTCTTCCATTTAAAGGAATATTTTCCTGGTTTTACTCTACCGGAGGAAATTGTATTCGATTTCAGGAGAGCAGTTGTTGATTTCTTTTTTCCACCTTTCTTTACTTCAATTTGAATCCAAGCCATATATATTTACTTTCAGAAACGGTTATGTGATTTCAATCACACAAGAAAATGCATGCAGAGAACTTTTCACCAATTACATTTTCTTATAAGGAGCAAATTTGTGTTTAGACTGAGTTATGCTGTACATGAAATACATATAATGGAGAAATATACTTTCTCCGTTTCTTTATAGTTGCAACACCTCCTTAAAATGGAAATGTCACAATAGTTGTAACAGACTATAAAAGGGAGGTTTTTATGGTGAAAATTGTACTAATATCTTTATTTAAAGCTCATGGCCCACTTGATTATACTCCTAACAATCTCTTAACCCCATTTTAAGTGTATTATATCATGTGGGATCCACTTTTCTTAAATACCGTGAAATGAAATGGTGGAAGTATTTTTGTTAATGTAATGGAGTTAAAGGTCTTGTTGCGTTCTGCAGGTATGTGTTTAGACTGGATACTAACTTTACTATCATTCATGCCTGTAACACTATTTACAATTGCAGCCTTGTGGGAAATCCTTACTGTTCAGATGCTATCTCGGGAGAAAGATACTGTATTCTTCCTCAACAGTCTAATATCTCATATACAACACCACCACAAAATTGTGCCCCTAGCAATTGCGATTCAGATAAAATTTCTAGCCCTAGCTGTCACTGTGCCTACCCATACACTGGAACGCTTGTATTTAGAGCCCCACAATTTTCAGACTTGGAAAATTTCACTCACTATAAGGATTTAGAGATAAAACTATCTAAAACCTTTAAATCTAAAGAAGTCCCTGTTGATTCGGTATCTCTCAGTAATGTAAGCAGGGGTCTATCAAATTATCTTGAAATGACCTTGCAAGTCTTTCCCCTTGATCAAGATCGGTTCAATAGGACTGCAATATCTACTTTAGGCTTTATGCTCACCAACCAGACTTTTAAACCGCCACCAGATTATGGACCATTTTATTTCACTGCTAATGGCTATACAACCTTTGCAGGTAACTATGTTTTGTAAAGAAAATTGGTTAACACATTTTTCTGTGCCTTTTGGTTCTGGAGTTTCTTTATTAACCCTCATTTAATATACCCATCTTAGAGGAATCTGCACCTAAACTGAAGAAGATATTGAGCATGGCTGCTATTATTGGAATCGCTGCAGGAGGGGCTGCTTTACTCATAGCGTTGTGTGTTGTAGCAATCATTTGCTTCCGTATGAAGAGGCCTCCCAAAACCGTGGAGCGAGACAATCGTTTAGGTAATTGTTTTTCTTATACACGGATATCTTTGAGGCTTGCAAGTACAACTTTATGATGTTTTTAAAGAGTGAAGGTTCATTATTTTAACCAAATTCCATCACACAACGACCTTGTATTCTTCTAAACAATCAATTTAAGAGATTGTGCCATCATGTCGTACATCAAGTAGAGAGAAATTACGAGAGAAACCCTAGAGGACTAGATTGTTGCTTTGAGCTCAACACCATCCTACAGTCAACTCTTGTTTGAAGGTGTATTTCAGAACATCATATCATTCCCTCTAACTAAAACACCTTAAAGTAGACAAACCTTCCGGCCATTGTAGAGCTTTCCTCTCTTTTACTCTTCTAAATATAATGCAATTATCCTGTGGTTTATGATTTCAATGCATCCGCAGAACTCCAACAACCTCAAAAACCCACTAGACAAGCAAATTCGCAACGCAAGGAAACAAAAAAATATTGATAGAAAGTGGCTCAGTCTCTTTAATAACAACTTGACCATTGTAACTCAATAAGAGTTTAGTTTTTGAGTTTGCAGTCTATCGGGCCGAGCTTATCCATCTCAAGCATACAAATGTAGGACTTTGAACTTTTCCAAAACTCGCGCATGATAAAGCTAATATATTTGATGATTTGATCATTACTATTAGAACTATTTCATGACAGTAATTTATAACTTGTAGGTCTACCGTCAACCTCATCTTGGATGTCTGCTGGCAGCACCAGTAGCACATTACCATTGGCAGGATCAAGGGTGTTTCCTCTTGAAGAGATAAAAAAGATGACCAATAATTTCTCAGAATCCAATGTGATTGGATCAGGGACGTACGGGAAGGTATTTTAGTTTAATGTGAATTGTTTACTACTTTATAGGACAAATAAGATGCCAATCATGCAGAATGTTTTCTCTTAGCGTTTTAGCTTGAAATAAATCTTTCCAGGCCCTGATTATCTGTTTTCATACGTGTTTCGTATTTTTTATTCAAATGGAGATGAAAATTGAGTGAACTTATCTTCAAGAAAAATGCTTTTCTTCCTTGCTGATGGAAGTTTACCTTTTCGTGATGGACCTGTGTTAATCTCTCTCTCTCTCTCTGATTATTTGATTTCATACGTTTCCATGTTTTTGATTCAAATGGAGAAGAAAATTGAGTGATCTTATCTTCAAGAAAAATGGTTTTCTTCTTTGCTGATGGAAGAAAACCTTTTCTTGATGGATCCCCCCCCCCATTTTTTTTTTTCCATTTGTATCATATTTCTAATGGTGTCTCAACAGGTTTACAGGGGAACACTTACAAATGGGCAGCTAGTTGCTGTAAAAAGAGCTAAACAAGGTTCACCGCAGGGTGACCTTGAGTTCAAAACTGAAATAGAACTTCTATCAAGAGTTCATCATAAGAACCTCGTTAAACTGTTTGGTTTCTGTTTGGAGAAAGGAGAACTCATACTGGTCTATGAGTATGTACCAAATGGTACCTTGAAAGAGAGTCTCTCAGGTATATATATCGGCTTAATTCCGTCTACACGCAGTATATGAGCTGCTTAGAAGTTAAAACCATTTTTTTCAAGTACATGCTTTTATAAAATATGGACCATTGAATAAGGCTAATGTTCTACTTCAGTTGTATGTTGTAATGAAAATCACTGAGTTAGAACAGGGAAATAAGGAGAATGGAAAGTAACTCCCTTTAATATAAAGTGTTGTTTGATAATTCAAGCTCTCTTCCATTTCTGACCATTGCTCCACCACATTCACCCTCGCTTTCATGGTATCACTGTCAAACACCATTGCCATTGCCTTCGCCATCGACACTCCCTGTCTTAGGGTGTGTAATCACCGCTCCCTTGACCCTTCATGTCGCCATGTTACCACTTCTACTCCCTCTTCCTTCTCTTATTATTTTACTATCACCATGGTCATATATGATGTTTAATAGGTCAAATTCAGACATGAAATCTATAGATTTGGAAGTTTTTTTTTTTTTTTTTTTTTTCCACATTGGATCATCTAAAGAGATGATACGAAAGGTAAATGTTTATTTTTTAATCTTGAATTTATTTTTTAAGGGTTGTGGGATTTTGGATGTGGGTGGGTTTATTAGAGGGCAGGGGTGGGTTTGCAAGGTGGTAGGTTGTTTTTTGGGTGAGTGGTTTCAGGTTGAGGGTCAGTGTGGGTGGTCGGCGTGGGCGAGTGCTGGTGGTGTTGGTAAGGGTGGCGGTGGGGAGAGGGGTGGATGGTTTGATTGAGTTCATGAGTTTGGGGAGAGTGTAAAGGATTATAGTAAAATCTACTACATTCATTGTAGTTAAAGTTTCAATTCTATTTTTTATTTAAGGTAGTATTTTTAAGTATGAAAACATTTTTTTTGGATATTTGTCAAAAATCACCTTTTAAAATGAAGTTTTTGTCTGAAACAACCTTTTATATATATATATATATATATATATATATATATATATATATATTTATTTTTTTTTTTTTATTTTTTTTATTTTTGGTAAGAAGCCACCTATATGTAATTTTTTTTTGTGAAGCAATACCTTATGACAGATTCTGGCATTGACTTTCCCTTTTAAGAATTGACTGCCCACATGATGCCTAAAAACACCCATGTTAGCCGCATCACCACCGGAACCACCATTTTCTTCCAAACTAACCACTCCACAACCCATCAAACTCTCTCAAAACTTCTCAAATGCCTCCGTAATCACTCATCCACCACCTTAAACCCACCCCAACTACCTCAAAACTACCCACCTACCCCCAAAAATCAACTCAAGAAAAAATCTTAAAATCCCTGAACCCACTGCATCTACTTTGAATTTTCAAAAACAAACCCATCCATTCTCAAAAGAACTTGAAACAATTGGAAGACCACACTACCTAGCCTTTAAACAACCTCAATCATAAAAAAAATCACCCAGTCATTAAATCTAAGAGATAGATAAAGATAAACGGGAAGAGAAAGGGGGGAGGGAGGAGGAGGGGCGGTGATGGGATAGGAGGGGAAAGGAGAAGTCGTGGCGGGGGAGAAGGAAGAGGAATCGAAGTAGGTATGGCATGAGACAGAAAGAGAGTTATTGAAGACTGAAGAGTCAATGCTGGAAAATATAAGTCGAAGTTTGAAATTCGGTTTAAGGTGGTCTTTGGCAAAAAATTTATGATTAAGGTGTCTTTGGTAAAAATTAAAAATATAAAAGGTGGTTTCTAACAAATTACTCTCTTATAAAGGTGGTTTTTGACAAATTTTCCTCTTTTCTGAATAGCAATTTATATACTATCTCCATTTTATATTATGTGTAACATTTACCAAAAATGAATGTTACATATTATGTGTAACAAATGTTTTCCTTCTTTTTTAAGCTGTCATTTCTCTCTTTCTCTATCCTCATCACATGCATTTCTATCTTTCTCTCCATTTAACACTGACAAACAAATTTTTCCTACGTGTCATGCCATTATGTCAAGATCTTTGTTGCGCATAATATGAAACAGAGCCAATATTTTGTGTTTACCACTCCCAATGTCGGTATTTGTTCATCCTATCTAGAATCATTTTAAGAGACAAAAAACTCAATGTAGGAAGAACAAATAGGGATGATGGGAATATTCTGTTACAAGAATTAAAGTTGTCTACTTTTAGTGTGGTCAATGCATGTATTTTTCTGGACATACAGACATGCATGGCTTGTACACTTATATTACAAATGCTATTACCTTATGCATGATAGTGAAATAATCTTTATGTGCTTCTGCACTAGGAGTTTGTGTTAATGTGTTAATGTGCTGTCATATGTGTACTTTAAGGCAGAAAATTACCTATAATGTAACTTCCAAGACTTTGTAGCCAGACAAGTTAATGATCTAACAGTGATGTTTTTTTCTGATCTAATGATGACTTTAACTTGTATGATCCAACCTGAAATAATGATTATTGTGTCTTGCAGGAAAATCAGGAATAAGATTAGATTGGAGGAGGAGAATCAAGGTTGGCCTTGGTGCAGCAAGGGGTCTGGCATACTTGCATGAACTTGCCAGCCCACCAATCATACACCGGGATGTCAAGTCGAACAACCTTCTCCTTGATGAACACTTGAATGCAAAAGTTTCAGATTTTGGTCTATCCAAGACACTGCTTGATGTTGGAAAGGGTCATATCTCCACTGAAGTTAAAGGGACAATGGTGCGTAAACAGTCATCTAAGTTGATCTTGAGGGTTATTATGAAACATTATTAAGTCTGTATTTTTGTGATGCAGGGATACTTGGATCCTGAATATTACATGACACAAAAATTAAATGAAAAAAGTGACGTTTACAGCTTTGGGGTGCTAATGCTGGAACTCATTACCGGAAAGTCACCAATTGACAGAGGTAGATACATTGTGAGAGAAGTGAGGAATGCCATTGATAGAGCAGAAGACCTATATGGTCTTCATGAGTTTCTAGACCCAGGTATCGGTCTAGGCACATCATTAAAAGGGTTTGAGAAGTACGTCAATTTGGCTCTGTGTTGTGTCGAAGAATCAGGAGTTGATCGTCCTGTCATGGGAAACGTAGTGAAACAGCTCGAGGACATACTACAGATGGCGGGTTTAAATCCATATACTGATTCAGCCTCCAGTTCTGGGGCATATGGTGATGGAAATTCGCGGCATCTTTATGGGGACGAGTCTCTCTACGGTTATAGTGGACAACTCCCGCGTTGATTTTTCCTAGTTCAGAAATGGTTTCCTTCATCGATCCTTTTATGAATCTTAGAAATATACTAGTTGGTTTTTTTTTTTTTTTTTTTTTTTTTTTTTTGGATTTTTTGTCAATATCTACCTTTTTAAGTTTGGAATTTTGCCAATTACCTTGTACTTTAAACTTTGTAAACAATTACCTTTAACTTTATATTCTCTATGTTTTTTTTTAATGCAACACGTTCACTTTTTATTATATTCACATATCATGTTTGACTTTATTTTTTGTCCTGTTTTCTACAATTTTTTTAGCAGTATGTCTGTATCACTTTAATAATTACATACTCCTAGACAATTTTTGGAGCTGAAAGAGATAAAAAAAAAAATTTAGAGGGTCCATATGATAAAAGAAAACGAGATACAGAGTATAATTTATTGGTAAAAAAGGAAACGTGAAAATTTAGAACTTCCATTTTTAGACCATACAACACAAGAATTATTAGGCTATTGTAACACCCCAATAATTTTCTCTTTCAACATATAAATATCTTGTATAAAATGTAAGAGAATTACTGACGTGCTACCACCACGTGTTCAAACGTTAAGGTAAAATCAAAATTTAGCAGCGGAAAAACTAACTCAGTAAAAATAAAGTTTCAAAACCAATACACAAAACCATATAAAGTCTTACAAGTTGGAATAATCAAGGCCCTTATTCAAAACCCAAATAACGAAGTAGTAAATAAATCAAACCAAAGTTTAACAAAGTTCAATATTCATGCAAAGAAATAAACCACGAGTAGTAACTGATATGTCGTGTTTTGTGTATGTTATTTGGCTTATTTTTAGTTAGTTTTGTTAGTTTAGTTGAGTATTTGAGTCCGTTTTGGCGTATTTTGGTTTAGTTTTGATAATCCGATGCTTTTATGGGTAGTTTTGTTGTTTTTGATGTTTTTCAGGAATAATGAAGCTAATTTGGATCCATTACGAAGCCATGAAGTTAAGCCAAGGCCCATGAAGTTTGATGATTGAAGAAAAGGCAAAATATAATAGGGAATTTTAGAGCTAGGCACGTCCGTGCCTCCAAGCCATATGCAGCACCCTTTGTTTCGACCCTAGGCACGTCCGTGCCTAGCAAGAGGGCACGTCCGTGCCCATCAGAGCAGCCAGGCACGTCCGTGCCCAGCATCAGGCACGTCCGTGCCTGGAAGACAGAAGCTGCAACAATTATGCTACGTACAGAGGCACGTCCGTGCCTATGGAGAGGCACGTCTGTGCCTCCTGGGATTCTTGTGCGCCAAGGCTTGGCCGATTTTCTCATCTTTTTAGGCTTATATAAATACTTTTTAGCCTTGTTTTCTGGGGGATTCATTAAGTTTATATTATTTTTCAATTCCTATTATTAAGAACTAGTTCTCCATTATTATTTTCCAAGTTTTTGTAATTCAAGATTCAAGATTCAAGCTTTCTACTTTCAATTTTATTCAAGATTTGGTATTTATTTTTCATCCTTTGTTATTTAATTATGTTTTCATCATTTATTATTGTTTTTGATTCTTTAATCATATGTGAGTAGATTCTTTCATTCAAGATCTAGTGTAGCCCTATTATTATTGATGCATGAATTAAATTTTTAAATTCTTTAATAACTTTAACAATTGAATTGCTAAATTGATTGTGATTATGCCAATGCTAGGTTAGACGTAACTATAGTATTGCGATTATTCCATTGTTTTTATCACAGCGAGAGTTGGGTATAAACGGATTTGAGTAAATTAATTTAGGGTTTGATTCATATCACGAGAGTAGTTATGTTTGATAATTGGGAAGTCAGAGTAATGTGTTTAATGTCTTTAATATATATGATACCATGAGAATAGGATTGATTGTATGTTAGGGAAGCCATTGATACTCGAGAGAGATCCTTGGTATTTATTAGGGTTTACTTTTCCCCGTTCGATTGAAATCGTATGTTAAGGGTAGAATTACAATTGCATCGATAATAATTGTGGTGAAACTAGATCTTGGATGTTTTAAGTACTTGATTTAATCATCTTATTTAGTTTATTTTCGAATTCTTCTCATACTTAGTTCCGTAGATAATTGATTATAATTGATTCTTGCTTAGTAGAAATTCGAGTCTATTTAATTATTTTTGAACCTTAGTCTCTTGGGATCCGACCCTTACTTGCCAGTAATATATCTTCTCTCCAATATTACAAGTGTTAAAATTGGATCATTACAAGGTCATTGAAAGGCGAAGGCCATGACCAAGAAAACACATACACACAAAAGCAATCAATCAGCATACAAGATACGAAGTATCATAATAAGATTCCTAGCGTGCTACTAATTTTCATACAACACACATTCAATTCCACTACAAGAAAACAGCTGGATTCCGACGGAATTTTTCCGTCGAAAACATCGGAAAGTCCGTCGGAAAAAGGCCTTCCGACAGAATTCCGTCAGAATCAGTCTGTCGCAATACCCTTTGTAGGAAATTCGACGTTTTTCGAGGTAAATTCCGTCGAAAGCCACTTTTCCGACGGAATTCATTCTGTCGGAGCAGGTTTTGACTTTAAAGAAAATTCCGTCGCAATTTCCGACGGAATTTTCCATCGGAGGTGGATAAGTTTCCGATTGGAAAACTCCGTCAGAAGAGGCATATTCCGACGGAAATTTCTGTCGGAAGAGATATATTCCGACGGAAATTTCCGTTGGAAATGTCAATAAAAAAAAAAAAAAAAAAAACAGCCCCACCCCTAACCAAAACCCCCACAGAAACCACCCCAACCAAAACCCCACCCACACCAACAGAAACCACCCCAACCATTAACTTACCCAACCCCAAACTCACACCAGACCCCACCACCACCGACACCACTACACACCACCACCATTCCAAAAATAAACCCTAAAAACCGAAATTAATCCCAAAAATACGAAAAGCCTAATAAAACCGATAATTAACCCCAAAAATACGAAAATTCACACAACATAGTCAAAAAATACCACACAAAACAATCAAAACCAGAAATTCAATAGTCAAATCAGAATTTCATTAAAAAAAAAATTCAAAAAAAAAAACGATAATTAACCAACAAAAATTAAAAAAATATATATATAAATATACAATAAAATTTATAAACTTAACATTACAATTACATACAAATTAAAAATAACTAGATCTACACTCTTGACGGTGGTTTTTGGCTCGCGACGGTGGTTATTGTCTTTGTTGTTGTTGGGTTGTTGTTGTTGTTGTTGTTGTTGTTGGCTTTGTTGTTGTTGCATCGTTGTTGGCTTTGTTGTTGAGTAGAGGAGAGAGAAGAGGAGTAGAGGAGAGAGAATCGGAGAAGAAGAAGAAAGAGAGAGGAAGGAGAAGAGGAAAGAGAACAGAGAGGAAGGAGAAGAGGACGAAAGAGAAGAGGAAAGAGAACAGAGAGGAAGAAGAAGAGGACGAAAGAGAAGAGGAAAGAGAACAGAGAGGAAGGAGAAGAGGACAGGAGAGAGAAGAGAGGATCAGAGAAGAGGAAAGAGGAGAGGAGAGAGAAAGAGAAACGAGAGAAAGAGAGGGGAAAGAGAGGCTGAGAGAGAGAAGAGGCATAATCTGATTTTAAGGGTTTGATTCTTTTTTTAAATATAAATTCCGTCGCAAATGGTTCAAAATCCGTCGGAACTTTTCCGACGGAAATAAATTCCGTCAGAACTAGAGTTAGGGTATGGTTTTTTTGTATTTTTATTTATTCCGACGAAATTTTTTCCCTCGGAATTTATAGCTTCCGACGGAATATTCCGTCGGAAACAATTTTCCGAGGGAATATTCCGTCGGAAGCTGTAAATTCCGAGGGAAAAAAAAAACCATCGGAATATTTCCGAGGGATTTTCCGTCGTAACTTACCTTTTCCGACGGAATTTCTGACAGACCCAAATTCCATCGGAAATTTCGAAATTTCCGACGGAATTTAAGTCTGTTAGAATCCGGCCTATTTCTTATAGTGTTCATTGTCAATTCAAACGCTTTACTCGACACTTTACATTACCAAGACTCCTCTAATAATTTCTTATTAATTCATTTTATTTTATTTGTTAGATTAAGCAATAGACAAGGTTGTCTCTCCATGCTCGAATTAGGAATATCAATTAAATAAAACCTTATGCCTCCTTTTGGAAACATCAATAAACATCCAATTGAAAACGGGCGCGACTCCGTGGCCATAGCTAGTATGAGATCTCATCTAAAAAGTATTTGAAAAATATTTGAAAACAAGAGACTCGTAGATCAGACGACCTCTAAAAAGTACACGACTAATACCCCGTGAACCCCAATCCCTTTTTGTCAATACTCTAGATGTTCACAAATCTAGAGTTTTATTGCTCATCCATCTTGGACTTTACGTGATTTACAGGTTTACTTGGTGGTGACTCAAATACAGAAATAATACAACCAATCAAACATTGATCATTCAAGCAATTCAAATTTCCAATTCAATTCTTGAATTATTAGTGACAAACAACATTTAAGTTGGATCCTTTAAACTACCTCGGTGTATAAACACCTTAAGTGCATAAGGCACTTCAAATCCTCAACCTCGTTTTATTAGAATTCAATTCTCCCTTTACTCATTCCATTTCAATTATCATGAACGAGTAATAAAAAAAAAAATTCAATCTACATATTCACGTATCTTTGTCTCCCAATTCATCTCGCAAGTTAATGCATATAAATTACTTACAAGATTAACCAACATACATAAAACCTCCACACGACTACATGCCATACACAAATCAAGAATGTGCACTAATGAGATTTGTTACCAAACAATTTCAATCAACCACAAATACCCTAACAAAATTATAAGTTTTTTTTTCCAATCCTTAAACATGCTCCTAAAGTCAAGGTTGTTCGTATCCTTATACGTACCTTGAGTAAACGAATTGTTTGGCCACTTCACCAACTAAAAATCACCTTTTATGAGGTTCTCTCCTACACCAAACAACAAAATCTCAATATACCCATACAATCAAATTTACAGCAATACTAACTTACTTTATAACCTTCAAAATCCATTCAAACAATATTTTTAAACCTTCCCTTTTATTAAAAACAAACGCTTATATGTAGTTCCTTATATTTCCTTCATAAAAACCTTAAATTACACCTTTATACATGAAATTACAACATATTTAAGCTACTAACAAAATCTGTAAATTTAATTTGTTAGTATCTTTTGGAAATACCATGATCCACGCTTGAAATATCAAATAGTAGCTTAATAAAATATGTAAGACCATAAAAACTTCTTAGTTTTTGATACTAAAACTATAAAATTCAGACTACACAAAATCTAAAAATTAATTAAACTTTAAACTTGAACTTTAACTGTAATACCTAAATTTCCTCCTTTTAAAATACTCTTTTTACTCTAAATAAAACTCATTTCAGGAAATAACCAAAATATTACCGCCACCG